TCGGATCTCCAACAACATTAAAAAAAAATGTGTATCATGAACTGTTTTAATCTCTTAACATCGCGAGGCAAAAAAATGTTTTTTCAACCATATCTCATTTTTCAGAGCCGCGGATGCGAGCGTTGGTTGATCAAAATGGGATGCGCAGTGAGCGGAGCTAAATCAGCTTTATGGATATCCCTTCTACATGGATTTCTATTCTTCATAGGTATGTAATAATATTACATTATAGAAACAAACGTAATAATATCAATAAAGGTAAGGAAGGCCTGAGCTTCTGCAATGGGGACGTAACAGGACTGATGATGATGATGATAGGTGCAATGGTTATCGCGCTCAGTCTGCGATATGTTTGTAAAGCAACTTTGACAATTGCCAGTCATAGGATGGGTGACCAAAAAATTATTATCTCCAGTTCCTCCGTGCTTCGGAAGGCATATTAAGCCATTGGTCGCGTTTGCATGTGCAGTCGTTAATACCCATCATTCCGCACTGGGCCCGCGTAATGGCCCATTCTCCCTATTCGATTCCATCCCAAGGAAAGCCTGAGCCCCAGCAGTGGGGACTTTAAAATGAAAATCATTACATCGTATTATTATTTAGAGATCAGGGCGTATAGTATCGTTTATGATGGCATTTTAACAGAAAACTATCGTTATCTTCTAGGGAGACAAGTGAATACGAGAAATAGCACAAAATTAAATAGAATTTAGTACTTGCGTGATAAAAATCTAAAACAAGAAAAGTGGCACAACACCCAGAATCGACAAAATATAGACAAATTCATAGATACTACTTACGATATTTCAATCACACCTATTTATCGCTCCAAACAATTAAAATCCTAAAAATCACAGCTAACGTTAGAATTTAAGGCACACCAGGCCGTTAGTGCCCGGTAGTAATAATTTATTTGTCACTATGAGAAGGGCAACACGTAATATAATTACGAGGGCCTTGTACGATAATGATCGTAGAACGTGAGGGATAATATAGCCTTAATGACGCCATTGCTAAGCACGTTATTGGGATAGAAAAATATAATAGAAATAAAGACTGATTGATGATGTCTTATCATCGTCGCACATAATAAAACTGGATGTTATAAATAAGTTACAATATTTTTACGCGGAAATGTCAGTAACTTTGTCGAGTGAAAGATAACGGAATAACTTTATACTTTCTTCTATATTGTTTGTTATGATATTTTCTATGTGTCAAATTAAATTTGTGTTGCTGTTTCAACTGTCAAAAGGGCTGAAATTCAAATTGGGTACACTTTATTGAACTTTTACTTATTTTCTAGAAAACCGAGCTTTTGTATAAGTTTTTTATATGTGCAAGACTTATGTGCAAGTTACTTGAAGACAAAAATTCATATTTTTAATAATTCATAATATCGCTTGTCATAGCATAATACCTTCAAGACTTTGCTAGCATTTTGTGCGTATGTTGACGATAAAAAGGGAAACGTAAACGTGGTGGCATTAAGGCCAATAACCGGTTGAATATTTTAACCAAATCTATATGAATAAGACAAGTGATGATCGTCTGTCGGCTTCGAGGAGTTGAGGTGTGAATGTATGCAACCGTATTGTAGTTCGTATCGCCAGCGGGTGTACCGCATATCATTTGTCGCGTAAAAAATTATGTGACTTCAACAAAATTGAATATATAATCATTATACAAATCGAGTTGTAAAGTAACAAGGTCAGTTACAATAGAAGTATTTAAAATGACTCTTTTCAGTGATATTAATAAGGAAAATGATTTTTTTCTGTTGTAGAATCGTGTTGAAATAGCAAAACATATTTTAACGATTACATTTCATCTAAATTCATTACTTCACTAAAACATTAGAATAAGCCATCCCACTGAAATATTTCCCCGGAGCTTATGATTCCAAAGTCTAGACGAACGAACTCACAGTAGCTAGTTGAAAATTAATGCGAGTTTTAATCTGAAAGATAAGGAAATATAAATAAAAGATCTTTTTGCACGTTTATTACTCGTTTGCGGTTAGATATTATTTACTTTTGCGTTATGGCATTCCTTTCGTAAATCAAAAACCTCTTTTTGTGTGTTTTCCTTCGTGTATTTATATTCTTTCGGTTGGCTGAATATGTATGGTAAGCCCAAAGCTGAATGTAAGATTGAATATCTGAATAAGAAGATAGCTCATGACTTTTGTCTTTAAGTATTTTTTTCGGGCATTGATTTTTAAAAGAAAAAGAATAGACATGAACTCGGTCTGAATACACCTCCATAATGTTTCGGAACGATTATTCCAGGGTCCATACTTTATATAACAGAGTTATTTGAATAATGGATTTTGAAAGCAATTTTTAGATACGAAAGGTTAATCTACGTAATGTATGTCGGTTCCGAGTAAAAATAATTGCATGCGACTTGAGTGAAACGGTTTTTTGTTATCGAAACAGAATAGCAATTCTTTATATTGGCAAAGTTAATTTTCATTTGAGCTAAATAAGACCATTTAGTAATTAAAATAGTATTTTAATGTAATTTTGAATTTGAATAATATTATCGAGAATGTAAAATTGAACTAATATTTTAATTAGAACAAATTTTGATTTTTATCGAAAGTTTAAATATTTTAAAAATATGTCTTTGGGCTGTTTGGGTAGATTGCTTGACTATTAATTAAAATATGCTCTGTAGTAGCGAAAAAGTAACAAGTACTTGAAAGTTACATCAGTCCTGTTAGGTCCTGGATAGCTCAGTTGTTAGAGCAGTCGCCCGCGAAAGATCATGGGTTCGAGTCCCATCTCAGAGTGTCAGGTCAAAGTGGTTTTTTTTAAACATTTTTCATTAATGATATTACTGACCCTAAAAAATTTATATAAAAAAATTGTATACTCAACACAAATTCATATCGAAACAAACGAATTTGAGAAAAGTAATTAATTAAATAATCATTATATCCTTCGTAGAATGCAATTATAGGTATAAGAATTTTTGGACCTGTCTCAACGTTGCTTATTTTTACAACTCGTCCTTTGTTCGGCCTTGTAACGCCATCTGTGACTAAACCCCTTCCAAATTTATATATTCAGTTAAGGCACTTGTGAAAGTCGAAATCTATGCCATCTGTTGAATGCTTCTAATCAAAAGATTTAACTTTGACGAGTTTACATTCTAAATTTAAAATGGGTCAATGATTTATTGCGCAATTATATTTATTCTGGTACTTTAATAATTTTGTTCTAATTCGAAACTCTCATATAGTTATTGCATTAAATATCTTAAAAGAACATTATTTCTCTCGTTTAAAATTATCGCCATTATAGCGTACTAAAACGGCATCTAAAAAAGCATTAAAAATGTTTTTTTATTTTTATTTATGTCTGTTATAAACCACCTTACAGAAGAGTTTTTATTCAAACGTAAAATACTCCTACATTTTGAAAATGGAACTAAAAACGGCAATCTCGGCTATTACACCTAGTAAGTGGATCTTGATAACTATGTTGTGGCTGACTAAAAGAAAAACACTCAGTATATTGATGAAAGCCGCATTAAAATAGGTTGTGTAATTAAAAAAATCTCAGTGTATTAACAACGAGAAGCGACTTTATTTTATACCATGTTCAGATGGGTTATTTCAGCCTTTTATATAAAAATCTACTTTTTCGTCTATTTATCCATGATAAGTTTTGACATTCTTTGGCTCTCTGAATAATGACATATGAAATGAAATCTGCGATGTTAAAAGTAATAAATACTAAATAAATATTTTCTTATTTTATATTTCAAAATACTGGTTGGTGTTGTATTCACTTAACGATTGATAAAATAGGGTTCGAAACGTATTTGAGTGTAATGTGATTCATTGAATTCTTGTCTATTATATTCAATGAGAGAAATTTCAATTTGTTTCGTCAATGGTGACATGAAAATAAAATGTATATTTATCTGTGCCTTATTTATATATTAGGAGATATTTAAATGAGAAGACACTCATAAACTTTTATATTTCCCGTGGTTGTTCAAAAAGGAATAACGTCTCCAAATAAACTGTAATTCAAAAGGAGAATAGGTACTGCTAATCGTAATAAGTAACATGACACAGTTCTATTTCTCCGAATATGATAGTTCGTATATTTCCGAAATGTCAATGTGACTCATACGGAAGATATTTCTTGATAATGCAACGGAGGCAGGAATTGGCACTTCTGGCACAGATAAATCTTTATGAATATGATTTCAATACAATTATAAGAATTTTAAGAAGAATTTCGTATGATGACAAATAGAATAGGCTATCAGATGTCATCTAATGCGTACGGGTTATGAATTACACTAGCATTACTAATATACCTGTAAAAAAAAAAATTAAATCACACAGTTATAAAAAAAGAAAATCGATTAATATGCGAGTCACTCTATGGTCCAACGATTTATGCATTACTTTTAATAATAATCGTAACAATTTCGAAGTAATTTATTTGAAAATCATTTTTGCTGCGCAATTTCACTATTCTCTATATCATATAAAAAAAAAATTCTCTGGATCTTGCCGCACGCAAGGGGGTAGTATTATGACTTTACACCTCTTAAGAGAAAACGGTTGATATCAGTTTTATAAAATGAGTAGTATTCTTGGAAACATGATGTTAAATAAAGAGGGAGGATAGCTTGGAGGCGAATTGGTTAAGAGGCCGCCGCGATCGTTATTGTTAAGCAATTTTCGCTAGGGTCGGTCACGGGATGGGTGACCAAAAATTATTATCTCGAGCTCTTTCGTGCTTCAAAAGGCATTAAGCCGTTGGTTCTGGCTGCATTAGCAGTTGTTTATACCCTTCAATCCGCATTGGACGAGCATGGTGCCCCATCTTCCTTAACTATTTATAAGAATGGCCTAAGCCCCTGCAGTAGGGACGTAAAGAGCTGACGATGACGATGAGGTTTGATCATGTTTGTTTTATGTATATCCAGCTGGTTCCGGCACAGAAACAACGCCCCTTGACGACTCCACTATGGACGTGTCTTCGCGTCGCTTCAGAGCTGAGTTCCTCCAAGAATGGCAAGGATCCACCGACGCCCCTTACTTCGACCCGAGTACTCCAAGAAATATCACTGGATTAGTTGGGCATCCTGTGAGACTACTATGCAGAGTGAAGAATCTACAAAACAGAACAGTGAGTTAATAATTAATAATAATTATTTTTGTTTTTTATTAAATCCTTCTTCACTGACTTCCAAAAAGTGCAAAATTATAGTTCATAAGGTACTGTCGCCTAATAAGGCCCACTATTTTCAATCGCTGGAGTACTATATAACCAACTAGCATATATCTCATTAAAAGTCCTACACTGACGGATCCTTAAGGACAGAATAATGTAATTTGAAGTTGCATCAGATAGGTAACACTTTAGCAGTCAAAATCAGTGGCGCTTATTAGGCAACAGTACCTTATCTTCAAAAAACTTAGATGAAAGTTGAATGGAGGTTTTCTGTAGGCAATTATATTAACCTTCAACGTCAATAGAAGTTATTCGAGCATACGATGCCAGTTTTATTAAAAAAAGTTTTTTTTTGTGGTAGGTATATTTTTTACGTAAGCATAACAAAAATCATAATCATAAACATGAGCTTAGGTGGTCTAGAAAATCATATTTCAACATAAATCTGCCTAGAATGGCGTAAAAATATTTCATAAAATTTATGTTCATTTCATCAAATTTAATTATACAATACGAAATTAAATAATATCAGTATTAAAAATAAACTTTAACTTAAGTGGGAGTGCTTAAAAATAAACTTATAAACTACGAATTATTTTTTTTTTATTTAAATAATTGGATCCAAACGCGATCTAAAGAATAAAGTTTTGCAGTCGTAATAACAGATTGTGAAGCTAAAATATTTATTTTTGTTTGTTAATTTATTATGATCAGCTTTTCCATTCACTGGTATATTTTATTTGAAATGTCACGTACACAAATAAAACTAAACGGAGAGCTGTCATTCAAACGATATTTCGGAAATTAGTCTGCCAGTAACCACGACCTACACGAACTATATAATATTCAATAAGCTTATTTTTATATTCAGAAACATTGATTTTCTGAAACTACTTCTAAACTTTTATTGAAACGTTTTATTCTGAAAACACATGTATTATAAATGAACCTTTTGAACGTATTCATGTCAAGTTAACGTGTATCGAGAATGAAGAATTAATTTTCAGCATGGATAACTTTTATAATAACAATAAATCAGTTTGGAGTTCAACATTTTGTACACCCATTTATCAATACTAAATTTGATCGATTGTTCTAGATTGCACGGAAGGGTATAACATTATTTTCCAATGTAAATAATGAATGTAGCGAAAGGCGACATACTCAATTGAGCGAAGTATTGAGCTAAGAACATGATGGGGTGGCAACACTGATGATATAATACTTGTTATTGACAATGATAAATGATTTCAGCTGATATTGTTTTTATGGAAACAGAAACTTATTTATCATTTTGAATACTTATTTGTATTACTATTTTAATTTAAGATGTAGGTACATACATAATATTTAATTATCCAAATTAAATTTACTGTTTTTATTTTTTTAAATACGTCTAACATTTTAAATGGCACATTTTTATTTAATGAAATATATTTGAAATGCTTTCTGAAACTTTTTGAATCAGTATTATCTTTTTCAACTATTATTAATTTGCAGTAGGGACAGCTTTCTAGCTGTCCCTGTTAGCATAAATAAAACCGGATAATATACAAGATTAATTGCCATTATTTATAATGTCTGTTCCTATAGACTCAAAAGACTTTATCTTCTGACCAAAGACCAAAGAGAAAATGTTCCCTTCCGTATTGTTTTAGACTAGAGCCATTTTTATGGAGCAGTGTGCTTACTGTTGGCCTCACATGACCTTTACAGTGTAACCGGAGTATGTGTCGGCTAGATCCTTAGGGCCTCAAGTCGAGAAAACGATTGTCCTGGAGGCTATCTACTTGGAGGGCATCACCCCAATTGGGGACTTCTCCACTCCGTTGTAGAATCACCCTGGACTCTCGTATCTGACTTGGGCTTGGGATAACTAGAGGGTGCCTGTAAAGGCTCAGACCTCTACGAGTGGTCCTTGAAAGTTTATAGTTGATTTGCATAGGAACTTTGTAAGTGCCATGTATGTGGGACAGCGCTATGTCTTCGCGATGTAACCTGTATTGTGGTGATACTTCTTCGCTCCAGTCTTATTTATTATTTGCCCATATGTAGCCCTTCTTTACACGGGTATAATTTGTTTTAAGCTGCCAGTGACATAGTGTTTCTAGGCATATCTTCAAGAATAATCTATATGTTTTGTGATCTGTTTGAAATTTAAAGTCAAAAAATAATGTAAAATGTAAAACGTATCTGTACTTACAGTATTTAAGGAAGACTCTACATTTATATTAACCTTGTATCTGCCAGTATGTCTATTAAATAAACAAAAAGAATAAAAGTTTGGTAAATTGTCTATTATAAAACTGTCAGTTTTGCATTGCTTCCTACAATATGCTATGAGAGTCAATTTCTAATTAAATTATCGTATTTAACAATATGTACAATAGTACTAATAGTAACAATATGTTTCAAATTATGACTTGAAATGATTTCTAGGACAGACGAAAATGTTATAGTTTATTTCTCTATAAGGTCCGTTAGCGGAGTAATTATGAAACATCTAAATTAGTTTTTAAAGAAAACAGTTTCCCTGAACCATGGTAACATTGTGTAAAAAACCACTTTATATTACCGCAGTCTATATTAAATTGAATTCGATTGCCGTGAACGCATTCTTATCAAATCTTTAGGTTTCAATCCATCGTTTGCTCGTACGATATGCCCCAGTCTCTTGTTTCTCAATCGAATAAAATGTTCTTACATTTAATAAAATTTCTTGAAGAATCTGAAAACTTCATTTAAAAAAACATCTAGTTGCACAAAATTTAAGGAATAAGTAGTATTTTTAAGTGTACACAAAAACTCTTTACTGTAAAAAACTTACCAACGTAACAAAACACAAGTACATAAAAGATTTTCTTTGTCGTAACACTTTGATCCATTAGCTTCCTTTGTGTAAGTACCTAAGTGTTTTATTACCATAAGAATAGACGATGTGATGTAAACAAGTAATGTTTATTCATTACGTTTTATCACGGCAAACCTCGCGTGAAATTATTCTCGCTTTAAATACGAGACGGCAAAGGATTTTATGGTTGAACGTCTTGAATTTATTTAATCTGGTAGCATTGCCGTTGACAGAAATGTGTCCCTTCGATTCATTAAAATAAAGGAACACGTTAATCTGTACAATTAAAGACTTCTTTGTTAGTCTACGACGGATGAGAATAATTCACACAAAATCTCAAATTAAATTCCTGTTGGACAACTTAAGATCCCTTTTACAATTAATACTCTAAACTTAAAAGTGGGGAACAGCCTTGATGCCTTTGAAATGGAGACGCATATAAGGAATTAACTTTTCGCAATCAGGGCGACTTCTCGAATCATTGAGTTCTTCTAAAACCTTGAATATATCACAAATTTTATCATGTTCTGTTCCATTTTCATGCAATGAAAGATACATTGGAATAAGATAAACGAACCGATCATCAATATATCAAATACATATTTTAAGAGTCCTATTGCTAGTTTAGATTACATGTGAATTGATCTAGAGGTTGCGGAACAAAACAGCTATAATAAAAGGGATGGCGAAGAAATTGTTGACAGAAGGATTTATATAAGTGCTCTTTATTTGTTTTTGAAGCACAGAATCCGAAATACCTGCACTTTGAAACTAGTCTAGACTATTCCGGTGTTATATCGAATCTGTCGCCTTTCAATACTAACGGCAAATCAATATCGTTTATTCAGTCTAAGCTATTGGCGTCTTTTCTCGACTCACAAATAAATATCTGCCGGGAGAACTTGTACTGAGAAGAATCTTTAAAAAACCCAGTGTAGGATGATGTTTCCTTGTTTATTTCATATACAAAACAACATTTGGAAAATGACTTCATTAGTTATGAATTCACTGTTTTTTAAAATAATGATAATAAAAAAAAATCATAAGTATACAGGGTGTAATATTAAGAACGGTCAGTATTGAAAAGTCTTATAGCCTTACTAATAAAAAAAACTTGTAACCGTTATTTAGCTGTATATAGCTCAATACTCAATAAACTCTCTTCACGTCATTCCAATATAATTCTTAATTCTAGTAAAAAAGACGTTTATCTCAAATGCTTATACATTATTTACTATTAAGGTCTCGAGACTATAAAGCAAATGAAGATTTATTGATTTTCGTGGCAAGAATATGTGACATGTGACAAGAAACACATTGTTGAAAAAACTAGTTCTCAATACGGGCATTTAATTAGGACGCTTTAAAATACTAAACATAGATTATTTCTACTTAGAAACCGATTTTTTAGGTCTTATGCAATAAAAATTATATCTAAAATAATATTTTTTACACAATCTACGTAGCCTAAACATAAAGAAGATTATAGCGTCCAAACTGTTAGAGCACAGGCCTTCCCTATCCATGAAATTAACTATAGAGTTCCTTCTCTACCAGTGAAACAGTCGCGTATTTTTTTGTAGACCAACCTATGGTGACCTATGGCCTAATGGCCTAACATTGTTAACACAAATTTATGAAATATTTAGGTAGTCTATTTAATTAGATTGCTAATTTATTATTAAATTTATATGTGTTCCTTTCCTGTTATGTATTTTAAGAGCGCCAATTACCAGAAACTTAAAACCCTTAGCGATCTGTCAACTCGCAAACACGCCCCCCGCGGATCCCCAATTATCGTCCGTAGCTGAAACGCGATTTATTTCCTAGAAATCAGTGTTTTTTCAATCCACCTCGTTTTAAAACCCCTTTCTTTCTGATAAAGTTACGAAAATGAAAACTAATTGTATTTCACAGAACATATTCTGGGGAATTAACACTGACAATTATTTACATGAAATAAGTAATTGTAAAACTGTAGCAAATCTATACATAGTATATAACAAAGTCGCTTCTCACTATCTATATGCTGAGTCATTTTAAACTGCACTAGGATTATTAATGCGGTTTTCATCCATAGTCTTTAGTCTTTTTAGTCTTTAGTCGCACGGCGGGCTTTTCCGCAACTCGACACTCTGTGCCTATTTTGCGTGATACGGGGTGGCATCAGTCCTGCCACCCCAGCTCCTCCAGGAACCCCATAAGTTCCAGAACTCTGCCGCATGCCTCTACTAGTGTCTGCATTCCAGTATAATATGGGCACTTGTCTCTTCAGCCTCCATGCACGCCCTGCACAGAGGACTGACAGAATAACCCATATTATATTTCATCTTTCATCCGTATACAGAATTTATAATATAATAGATATAGAGATATTTATAATACAGGACTACACAGACCAGGCGCTGGCAGAAAGCTAGTAGTTATATGAAATAACAAGGTAACTTATAAGTTCGCTATTATAATGGTAACTGATACGACACGCAACAGAACTGGTTTTGACTATGTGATAGTAATATTTTATTTAATAATAAAAAGGAACAAATGTCTGTCGTTGGTTTTCGGGAAGACAACATTATGAGATTGTGTGGTGTAAACGGCATGCACAAAATCCAGGATAGAAAAAAATAGCGAAGCCTAAAAAACTATGGGATTACGGAAGGCTAATTAAGGAATAGAAAGAATATTTTTATGCAGAAATAACAAAGTTTTTATTTTCGTTATGATTTTTTTTTATTATAATATTAAATTTTTTTTTTTATTTAGAAGTTACGAGATAATATACAAGAAAAAAAAATACATTCGAATTAAGAACACCCCTCCTTTTTTTTTTGAAGTCGGTTAAAAATAATTTTAATTCTAGGACAACATTATAAACAACTTCATTCAAAGTTTATCCATATGCAATAGGATTTCTTCAATATCAAAATTTTCAACTCTGTATTTATTGTTCAAAATAAATAAATACGGATTCAAAATAAATCATTATCTTTATCATCATATCAAACGAGAGACGCCCACTGCTGGGCATAGGCCTACTCCAATGATCTCCAACGTGATCGGTCCTACGCCTCTCGCATCCAGCGGCTTCCCGTGACCTTCACCAGATCGTCGGTCCATCTTGTGGGGGGCCTACCAACACTGCGTCTCCCGGTACGCGGTCGCCACTCCAAGACCTTACCGCCCCATCGGCTGTCAGTCCTGCGAGCGATGTGCCCTGCCTCCTTCCACTTGAGGTTCGCAATTCTTTGACGGTGACTTTCATTCGTCTGCGGATCTCATCATTTCGGATTCGATCTCGCAAAGAAACCCCGAGCATAGCCCTTCCCATTGCCCTCTGAGCGACCTTGAGCTTCCTTATGAGACCCATCGTAAGCGGCCACGTCTCAGTTCCGTATGTCATCACTGGCAACACGCACGAATTGAAGACTTTCGTCTTGAGACACTGCGGTAAATGTTCCAAGAATACACTGCGTAGCCGAGTTGGATCCGTCGATTTACCTCTCTCTGGAAGTTGGACATACTTAATCGGACTATTTGTCCCAAGTAAACATACTCGTTGCCTCCATCCATGTTTATTTTAAGACCCACTTGTTGGGAAACTCTACAGAGATCTTCGAGCATTGTGCCTAGATCTTTCATGGTCTCAGCCATGACTACGATATCATCAGCGAAACGAAGGTGCATCATGTACTCACTGGCATCAATATAAACGAGTATATGAAAATACATACTGCGGATTTATTGTTCAAAATAAATAAATCGATATGTCCTTGTTATTCGAAGTCAATCGTGTTTGCTAGCTGTGTAAGAGTCACAAACAGAATTTAGGAGAGGAAATGAATGGTCGTGATGTAAGTTGTTTTCACTCCAATGACATTTCCAAAGATCAATAGAGCTTGTTCAGCAAATAATCTATTTGAAATAATTTGAATTTAATATAATAAAAAAAGTTTTTAAGGCTTAGAATTAGCCATATACCATTTTAAACTGGAAGCAGGCAGCAATGCATTTTCTTTCGTCAAAACAAATGTTTCTAGTTTCGCTGCTTTAATGTAAATTGTAATTAAGCTTTGATCAGATGCTGGAAATCTTTTGTTTATTTATATTAATTTCATTTCAAGTCTCCCATGACATATTCACATATCACTTAAAACATATCGGGACGTTGTTAAATAAATTGTATCCATAATTATATGAGATAAACATAAAATCGTTCTCCGTTACGGCCTTTGGTGAGTTTATATTTATGATTAGCTTTTCTGATAGCGATCGTTTCACCTCTGAAGTGCGCACTTAAGCGTACCCATTGATAATACGTACCCCAATAAAATGCCTCGACACGATCCATTATGGAGAATTCTAAACGAAGCCTGGAGGTAAATTGGAAGTATATTTTTTTTTCTTTAGTATTCTTTAAGAACATTTCGTTACCTCTGATGTTGAAAGGAGGCTAAATCATATTTCGAAATGTTGGTAAACAACTTAAAAGTATTTTTTATGAAAAAAAAAAAAAATCTTTTGTAAATGAGAACACCGCAAGCAGTCGAGCCCTTCAAACTTCCCTACGATGATATTACTTGTTTATGCAGATAATTTTTTTTTTTTGAATCTGTCAACATTCACCTAAATTTTCGGCAGTTTCTTTGATGTTCTTCATATTGCGTATACTCCGAAGCTTTTTACGATATTGATAAGCTTGTGTAAATATCATACGGGTCTGATGTGATTTTTCTATAGCATACATTGTAGGATTCGATAGGTTTGAAACATTCATAATTTTCTTCTATAATAGTTTTTTGTGATTTAATTCAGTTTTTTTACGAATAAAAAATGATTGTTTTTTGTGTTCCTTTTCTATTTTTTTTTTTATTTTTAATTAATATTAATTACAAATTATTCTATATCGAAAAAAATGACTTCTCATTTCACGAAAAGAAATAAAAGAATGACTTAATCATTTATTTTATTTCTTTTCATAATCATTTTCAAGAAAATGAATTAATTTGAAAGACACTATGTAGTGGTGACAAGACACTATTTTATATAATCAAAATGGATTACAAAAAAAAATTACATTTGTTCGAATCACAAAATATGACACTATCTGTCCCTATGTTTCTTATTAATTAATTTATGTTTTATCTATATTAATTATTTCGTTTTTGTGAAACCATTTCAATTTCCTACAAATTTATATTTCTCAAGGATTCAAAATAATTTCTTGGTAGTAATTTTATTGAATTTACCAATATAATTTTAACATATAGGGTGGATTGGCAACAAGATAAGATTGTGTTACTCTATCGTCGTTCATTGTAGATTTATCGTCGGATTTTAATTAAGATTTTGGATTATCTATTACGAAGCTAAGAAACTCTTCAAGTAACCCTTTTCATGTAAATCCTATCCAATTCTGTAGTAGTCATTAAATCTGTTTCTACTATTTGTCCTTTTGTGTCCCTATTGTTAGCTTAGTTGAAGTTTTAACAGAGTTCAACAATATCCTTTGTACGATATTTCCTTTGGAGAATTATCAGTAGTAGCTGATATTGGGATTCGGTCTATTTTCACCAATCTCTTTGAAATCTCAGTCTTGAAAGTAGTATTCAAAATTTACTTTGGTGACTCTAGTGATTTTATAGCTGTCTCATGATAAAGTGATCTTTCTCTTGCTGGAAATTAGTGCGTCTGCTTTTTGGCACAAAGTCTTTTAACGCTATATAACATTTGTTTCTCAGGTGTCCTGGGTACGACATAGAGATATTCACTTACTGACAGTCGGCCGCTACACTTATACGTCAGATCAACGGTTTGAAGCGCAGCACAAGCCACGCTCAGAGGAATGGGCGTTACGCATTCGCAGTCCGCAGCGACGAGATTCCGGACAATACGAGTGTCAGATATCCACTACACCACCTATAGGACACGCGGTTTACCTCAACATAGTTGGTGAGTACGGAATCTACTAAATCTTCAATTTTGAACACAGATAACCTCGTATCTCTCGTATATGCAATAAACTTGGCACACAAGGCCCCTTCTAAACTAGATGACAAATAATCATGATTTGCTGTACCCTACTCATATCAAGCTCGACCCTTACCAATTCAGGGTCTATCTGCCGCCATGCGCAAATTGCTAAACTTTTTTGCCGGTAAATACTTCTAAACGATATTTAAACGATGGGAATGCACATTCATAGTCTGTTGCATATGCATTCGCATCGAGTGATCGTAGCAAATCGACCATAGCAAATAAAATATTTTACGACAATTCAACCGACCAATGAAAAACAAACTACAGAATTTTCCCGCACTCCGCACATTGATACAATCATCCAATTTTAATGAGCTATAGTACATTTCAAAAGTGTATTAAATACTACTGAACTTTTGGATATAGTTTAACATTTCATCAGTTTAGTTTTGGCCAGTTTCTTAAATATTTGAAATTTAAAGTTAATTATTTATTGCTTTTGTATAACAACAACTACATCTGAAGTTGTCATTATATTATAAAATTAATTTAGATAAAAAACAGTGATGCAAAATAAGAAGATAGAAAATCAAACTGTATAATAAACCACAACACGTTAATCGTTGTGTATAGCCCATGTAATACCTCGTGTTTTCACGGTGGTTTCACATTGTCCATTGTGATCTCATTTGTTGAATATATGATGATAATCTCTTTGATCTCGTCAACTTAAGCTTGAACATGTCGTTTATCAGTAAGGGAAAGTGATAATAAAGACTATGGGAAAACAATTGTGGTCACTCTACTTGATATGGGTACTGGTGTGTAATTAATCACTGTATCAAATGAATAAATTACTCTGTGTTAAGTTTACTCGTATGTAGTTAATTTACTTCATTATCTTTTTTGGACTTTATTAGATATTAGCTAATGCCCGCGACTTCGTTCGCGTGGTAAAGTTACTCTGAGCAGCATTTCTAACGAATATTTATTCAATAAATATATCGTGGTAAAAAACCTGAAATAAAGTTTCATCCCCTATTTTATCCCCTTAGGGGTGGAATTTATCAAAATACTTTCTTCGGGGATTCCTACGTCATAGTAGCTTTATGCATGCAAAGTCTCAGCCCGATCGGTTTAAAATTGACAATGTTTCATACAAACTTTCATCCCCTATTTTATCCCTTCGGGGGTAGAATTTATCAAAAGCCTTTTTTAGCGGATGCCTACGTCATAACATATATATTTTTATTAGGTGGGGAAAAGTCTTTTCACATAAATTATGCATAAACTTGTGATAAAATCTTTCTTCATTATAAGTCATTATAAAGTTTAATATTTTAAAGAAAATAACTCTGAATTCAAATTTGGAAAATGTTAAATTTTCATTTATTTTTCTTACTGTCAAAATGAGTGAATCTAATAGAGAACTCGATACATTTTGAAAATTTATTACAAAAAAGGTATAAATGCAACTCAAACTGCGAAAAAAATTGTGACGTTTAAGGACCTAGTGCAGTTTCTGTAAGAGTACTACAAATTTGGTTTTAAGCGTTTTTTGATGTAATAGATGCACGTCGCTCCGGTCGCCATGGATGCCATTTTTAGTTACAACATAACTGAAGAACTGGGGATTGACCACAAAACAGTTTTGACGCATTTGAAAAAAGCTGGGTACACAAAAAGTTGGACATTTGGGTACCTAACGAACTCACTGAAGGAAGCCTAATGAACCGTGTACTCATTTGTGATTCTTTATTACGGCTTAAGCTTACAGCTAAATGAAAAGTGAATTACGTACGACAAGAACGTGGACAAGAACTGTGGCCGGGTTAACTCGCAACAAGGTGATGCTGTGTGTATTGTGGGATTGAAGAGCTTTATTCATTATGAGCTGTTACCGCCAGGCAGGACCACCGAGTCTCAAATCTATTGCGAACAACTGATGAGATTAAATGAAGAAGTTGAAAGTGACCAGAATTAGTCAGTATAAGGGGTGCGCTTTTTCATTACGATAACGCTAGACTAGCCCTCACGCTAGTATAGTCCTGACCTTACACATTCACATTTTCATCTGTTTCATAATTATTTATGCAGTGTCAGGTTAACAACTCGCGAGAACTGCCAAAACCACTTAGCGCAACTGTGGACCCGCCTTTTGAAGGTGTTTATAGTAAATCAAAAGTTGATAGTAAAAAGTTGTCAATACTGGTCCATATAGGAATTTAAAAAAGTTTGTAATGAGAGCGAGTTGGGAGTTTGTGATGGAATCTATATTCGAAATTTAAATAATGTGATCGAAAAATTGACTATTATTAAAAAGAAACTTTATTTTTAATAATAAAAGGGTGGATATTTAATAATAAAAATAAAAAATAATTGGTTTATGTATTAAATTTTAGCGTAGAGAGTTCGTTGAAAATTTACGTAAGTACTTTGAATACGTTAATGTTTTAAGTCATTTATTTTTTTCTTACAATAACTTAGTTTATTTAATGCAATTTATATATATAAATCTTTGACTTAACTGATTAAATGCTTCATATAATTGATAAAATGTGCGCGTGATCCAAGTGGGTCCGAGAAGCCGTTGAATGGCTCCTTGACAGTTGAGGATAGTTGTGTTTTTTTTTTGTAGAAAATGTGCATGTTTTTTTTTAATTTTTCATGTAGTATAGGACATTATCTATTAAATTAAAATGAAAACGAATGATACAAACATATATTTTAATGAGATATTGAAATTTAAAAATAACATTTATGGAATTTGCACTTCTCTTAAACTTTATAATTATATGCAATCGGGTCTTGTTCGTGCATTTTTTAAAAACAATTAATTTACCTCGACGTTTCGGCTACGTTACAGCAGCCGTGGTCACGAGGAGACTGGAGAACTGGCGGGTGTCGTCTTCTGATTTTAGTTGAGGGTAATCCGGTAATAATGTTTTAAACTGATTTTCAGATGTACCCTCCACTTGATTTTATTATACGTAAAGGTGGCGACACACTGCACTTACGGTATCTGAGAATATTGTTCGTGGTTGTTTGCGATCGCGACACTTATACATTTTTATAATCGGATTCCACGTTGGTGAGAGTTTATATCCACTTTCCCGGTTGAAATTGTTGTGTTTTTTTATTTCAACCGCTTCACGAACAATCCTTGGATAGTAATGTCGTTCAGTGGAAAGGACATGAGGTGTATGTAACTCGATCCAGTGGTTTGATCCAGATGATAATAAGTGCTCTGCAATCGCGGACTTCTCCACTTGACGATTTTTGACCGCTGCTATGTGTTCTCTTACACGTTCGGCGATAGTCCGCTTCGTTTGTCCGATATATGAACTACCGCAGCTGCAGTCAATTTTATAAACGCCAGGTTTTTGGTAAGGAATACTATCCTTTGGTGATCGCAATTGGTGTGACATTTTTGATAAAGGAGTAAAAATGGTGTCTATAGAAAATTTTTTCCTCAAAATGGAACCAATTTTGTCCGTTACCCCCTTAACATAGCCTAAAAATGCCCGTTGCCTGGGAACCTTAGGTAGTCTTTCCTTACATCTTCGGATAGGGTATGACCTCCTTGCGCTGTATCCATTTTTCCTTAGCACGTCCTGTACATGGGACAACTCATCTGCTAAGAAGTCAGTATTACATAATGCGTTAGCCCTGTTAATAAGAGTTGTCTCCACAGAACGTAGGTGTTGAGGATGATGATGAGATGAAGCGTGGAGGTACTTGTCTGTGTGTGTTGGTTTCCTGTAGACAGTGTGTTTCAGGGACCCATCAGCTTGCGCCATGACTTTAACGTCCAGAAAGGGTAAGGTTTTGTCACTCTCTAACTCATAGGTGAACTTGAGATTCGGATGGATATTATTGACGTGTGTAAGGAACTGCTCAATCTCCGGTTTGTCGCCCTTCAGGATACAGAACACATCGTCTACATACCGTTTCCACATACGGATCCCATGTGACTGGTAATCTATCAATGACTCGACATGTTCCATCCATATATTGGCCAAAAGTGGCGCTACGGGGCTACCCATGGCGACACCATCAATTTGAAGGTAATGTTTGCCGCGATATAGGAGATAGCTGCCATCTAAACAGTTCCGTAATAGAACCATGTACCCTTCCGGTATATCGTTTTGTCTAAGTTTCATCCTAACAACCTCTAGACAGTCCTTAACTGGAACTTTGGTGAACAGCGACTCAACATCAAAACTCACCATTCACGTCATCCGGATCCAGTTTTGTATCATCAAGGATCTGTACAAAATGACGCGAGTCCTTCACAAAGGATGTTGTAGTGCCCACAAGCGGTTGCAGTACGGAAGCAACGTGTTTTGCCAAATAATAAGTAGGTGAGTCAATCTGACTCACAATCGGTCTCAGTGGAACGCTGGCCTTATGCACTTTCGGCAATCCGTATAATTTTGGTGGTTGTACTATCTTCGGCTTGTATAGGTTCTCGAAGATGTCCTCGGTGAAAAGGTGTTTATAATCCCTGATAACAGCACGTATTCTCCTTGTAACTCTCGCAGTTGGATCGTACGATACCGGCTTATATACGTTATCATCTTGCAACAGAGCAAGTATTTTGGAGTCGTAATCGCTAGTATTTATCACGACGGTAGCGTTGCCTTTGTCGGCCTTGAGAACGAGAAGGTCCTTATTAGTTCTCAAGTTCTTAAGAGCTCTACGCTCTTCGCTCGTGACGTTGCTCTTAGGTACTTTGGATTTACGTAACACGATAGCGACATCTTGCCTCAAAGCGTCGGCATCATCAGTTGGTACCTTATTACGAACTATTGTCTCCTCTATACTGCTGATGATATGTTCATACGGTATCCTCTTCGGGGTAGTAGCAAAATTCAGTCCCTTTGCTAAAACACTGCGAGTGGCACCGTCAAGTGTAGTATCCGATAAGTTGATGACGTCATCAACTGACTCCCCAGTGATCCTTGATCTTCCACTACGAAACAGCAATTTTTCGAATTTACGTTCATGCTTTTGCGTGGATAACTCGAAAATTCTGCTTGCTTGCTGATACGTTACGCGATCACATAACTCAAAATCACTGTACGAAAGCTCGGACACACACTCACTATGCACTTTATAAAGGGCACGCTGTACACTGTCCAACTCACGATGACCGTTACGTATTAGTTGTTTAAGAAGACGAACACTCGCGCTCCGTAGAATGTCACTGGAATGTGCTATGTGTACACGCGGCTTAATACGAACGCACGTAGGTATCAAACCGTTATCACGACATTTTGTTAGAAAAATTGATGAAGTCTCTAACCTCACTTTTTTCTTCCGTAACGATTCTAGATGGCGCACTTTGTTTGCAATTTCCGGCCCGTATCGGTTTTAGCAAAGGGACTGAATTTTGCTACTACCCCGAAGAGGATACCGTATGAACATATCATCAGCAGTATAGAGGAGACAATAGTTCGTAATAAGGTACCAACTGATGATGCCGACGCTTTGAGGCAAGATGTCGCTATCGTGTTACGTAAATCCAAAGTACCTAAGAGCAACGTCACGAGCGAAGAGCGTAGAGCTCTTAAGAACTTGAGAACTAATAAGGACCTTCTCGTTCTCAAGGCCGACAAAGGCAACGCTACCGTCGTGATAAATACTAGCGATTACGACTCCAAAATACTTGCTCTGTTGCAAGATGATAACGTATATAAGCCGGTATCGTACGATCCAACTGCGAGAGTTACAAGGAGAATACGTGCTGTTATCAGGGATTATAAACACCTTTTCACCGAGGACATCTTCGAGAACCTATACAAGCCGAAGATAGTACAACCACCAAAATTATACGGATTGCCGAAAGTGCATAAGGCCAGCGTTCCACTAAGACCGATTGTGAGTCAGATTGACTCACCTACTTATTATTTGGCAGAACACGTTGCTTCCGTACTGCAACCGCTTGTGGGCACTACAACATCCTTTGTGAAGGACTCGCGTCATTTTGTACAGATCCTTGATGATACAAAACTGGATCCGGATGAGGTGATGGTGAGTTTTGATGTTGAGTCGCTGTTCACCAAAGTTCCAGTTAAGGACTGTCTAGAGGTTGTAAGGATGAAACTTAGACAAAACGATATACCGGAAGGGTACATGGTTCTATTACGGAACTGTTTAGATGGCAGCTATCTCCTATATCGCGGCAAACATTACCTTCAAATTGATGGTGTCGCCATGGGTAGCCCCGTAGCGCCACTTTTGGCCAATATATGGATGGAACATGTCGAGTCATTGATAGATTACCAGTCACATGGGATCCGTATGTGGAAACGGTATGTAGACGATGTGTTCTGTATCCTGAAGGGCGACAAACCGGAGATTGGGCAGTTCCTTACACACGTCAATAATATCCATCCGAATCTCAAGTTCACCTATGAGTTAGAGAGTGACAAAACCTTACCCTTTCTGGACGTTAAAGTCATGGCGCAAGCTGATGGGTCCCTGAAACACACTGTCTACAGGAAACCAACACACACAGACAAGTACCTCCACGCTTCATCTCATCATCATCCTCAACACCTACGTTCTGTGGAGACAACTCTTATTAACAGGGCTAACGCATTATGTAATACAGACTTCTTAGCAGATGAGTTGTCCCATGTACAGGACGTGCTAAGGAAAAATGGATACAGCGCAAGGAGGTCATACCCTATCCGAAGGTGTAAGGAAAGACTACCTAAGGTTCCCAGGCAACGGGCATTTTTAGGCTATGTTAAGGGGGTAACGGACAAAATTGGTTCCATTTTGAGGAAAAAATTTTCTATAGACACCATTTTTACTCCTTTATCAAAAATGTCACACCAATTGCGATCACCAAAGGATAGTATTCCTTACCAAAAACCTGGCGTTTATAAAATTGACTGCAGCTGCGGTAGTTCATATATCGGACAAACGAAGCGGACTATCGCCTAACGTGTAAGAGAACACATAGCAGCGGTCAAAAATCGTCAAGTGGAGAAGTCCGCGATTGCAGAGCACTTATTATCATCTGGATCAAACCACTGGATCGAGTTACATACACCTCATGTCCTTTCCACTGAACGACATTACTATCCAAGGATTGTTCGTGAAGCGGTTGAAATAAAAAAACACAACAATTTCAACCGGGAAAGTGGATATAAACTCTCACCAACGTGGAATCCGGTTATAAAAATGTATAAGTGTCGCGATCGCAAACAACCACGAACAATATTCTCAGATACCGTAAGTGCAGTGTGTCGCCACCTTTACGTATAATAAAATCAAGTGGAGGGTACATCTGAAAATCAGTTTAAAACATTATTACCGGATTACCCTCAACTAAAATCAGAAGACGACACCCGCCAGTTCTCCAGTCTCCTCGTGACCACGGCTGCTGTAACGTAGCCGAAACGTCGAGGTAAATTAATTGTTTTTAAAAAATGCACGAACAAGACCCGATTGCATATAATTATAATGTATACAAATCGTGTGAGTTTAAAAATATTATTCTCTTAAACTTATCGTCCGAAAACTAAAAAGGGATTGCAGTGATAAATCACTAATGGGGATATTTTTTTAGTAAATTTTATCTAGATTCTAAATATAACCACAAAGTATATACGTTTCATACAAAAATCTTGAGAAAAATGCGTTCCAATTCGCCGACACGATATAGCGCTCCGTCGTTTTCGTGCCGTAGGATGGCACGAAAACGGCGTTGCTCGACGATACTCACATAGCGGTTTGTTACGGTTGCGTAACAGGAAAAAGTTTAGAGAGATGTATAAAAGATTCTATACAATTGTCTTAAAAACCCTAATGTTAGTTTTGTTTCTCTGTATGTTTTATATGAACTTGAAAGATTAATACAATTATGGTGCTTGTCCATTGAGCCAGCATCGGCTGCACAACACACAATGTATCGCGAGGATTTGTCCATGTCATACATCCACTGCAGTCTCATTTTTCATAGACGCTTCTATGAAAAATGCGACTGTCAGCTTTGATATCAGAGTTATGCTGATAAATTCATAGGAATTTTAAAAGTCGTTTGCATGTCGTGCGGCCAGTGCGCTTGTGCTGACATATGGACGTTCACCTTAAGGGAATATTATCGTTTTTACTTTTTTAGAACCAGAGACAACTATATCGAGCGGACCAGAATTGTTCATCCAAGCGGGGTCAACTATCAACCTTACTTGCACAGTGCGACATACACCAGAACCACCGTCTTCCATTACTTGGACGCATGGTGACCAAGTAAGTTTTGGGTGAAGGATTTTTTCTAAATACTGATAGTTACAGACTAATGATATTAATAAATGATAGCCAACCCGGGGTTATGCTCTTCAGATCAATTTTCGATGTGGCCAATTTCATCGTGTCCTATTCTTACAAAAATATTCTTCTTGAAAAGCTCTCAAAAAATCCACCTTGTCCCTGGCAATCTGAGATGGGACTCGAACTCATGACCTTTAGTTATATTGGTTCATCTCATGGGCTGCCAAAGTTTCTGATGACAATTCGATCGTGTTCACCACAGTACTTTTGTTTAAAAAAAACTTGCGTACATATGTTAAAGAATGATGAATTGGTAGTAAAGAAATGTAGTTAACGCAATGGTTAATAGATTAACCCTTAAGGGTTTTCTAAAAACATCTGCCAATCAACTGTCACTTACATTTCTGAAGCATTGGATGATTAGTTTAATCCAATATGTATTTTTTCCTGTTATTTCACAGGTGATCAACTTCGATTCAGCCAGAGGTGGTATATCTTTAGTGACAGAAAAAGGCTTGAAGAGTACCAGTAGGTTATTGGTTCAAAGAGCAAGAGGAGCCGACGCAGGGCTGTACACATGTGGTCCTAATAATGCTCCACCAGCATCTACCAGAGTTCATGTTTTGTCTGGTGAGATTGTTATTAATATAAATAATAGAATAAACTTCAATACAAAACTCTGTTTCAATTAATACTTCATAATTGCAAAATTAATCAATATAATAATTACAAGTAATTTTCATCTTTATCGAAAATTTAAAATATTAGTCAAAATATATTTTTCGGTTATTTTAACATTAATGAAAAAACGTTAGGTTTAAAAGTAACAAGTGTTTTTTTCAGTCCTTTTAGGTCCTGGGTAGTTCAGTAGTTAGATTTAATTTTGAATTTTTAAAGTATTTTTATTACGATGTTGAAAAAAGCTTACAAAATTTCACATTTGTTTGCAGGTGAACATCCAGCGGCCATGCAACAAGGATGTGCAAAATCTTCATTAGATAGAATTTTATCGATATTTTACTGTATTTTGTCATTATATTTTTTTAGAAAACCTTCGTTTAACAACTTGCAATTCGGCACCTGAATATAATATCAATAAAAATTATGCTAATTTATGTTGATAAATCGTACGTAAATTTATTGAATTGTTTTGTAAAACAAAAGATCGTTGGTTTCTATTTACCCGTTATATTTTATAATAAAAGCCACTTAGTTTATTATTTGGCCATTATCATTGAACTTATACTTATCACGCCTTCGACCCGAATTGATATTCAGAAGAGCTTTCTTTCACATAAGATCGGATCGTCGAATAAACTCCTCATTGAGGACTTTTCTCTAGAGGGTTCTTCAAAGAAAATTCGAACACACAAAGTGTATTTCGAAGAGGGAAGCACACGTGACAGTCCATATTACATGCCTAAGGAGCATTTTTATTGGTCGATGGCATCCTCACGCGGGATCGGGGGATTATTCTAACTCCTTCCATACGACCCGCATGCGGGGAAACGTATTTACTAATTGATGATGTTCGCATGTAGGGAAAAAAGATTTTAGTAAGTCAATATATACTAATTCTCGTTATTGATATTGTTGACTTTCGTTACCTTGCCTTGGGTTCGGGAATTCAACAACTTATCGATCGATTAAAGTGAGCCTTTGGCCAAGCTTTCTACTCGATTTAATGCTAAATTAAATGTTTATATATATAGTATAAAAAGTCGCTTCCGGCTGTCTGTACGCAGAAATCTTTTAACTACACAAATATATCAAATTCTTAGCTGTCATTAAATCTTTTTAAAAATTGATTTTTCAGTTTTGGTGTGGCAAAAAAGTTACATAACGTATTATTTATATGTCAAGTAAGTATATAACTTGTAACGTATGGAAAGAAATTTTATTTTTAAGCGGCAATATTCACTCCATTGCCACTCCATTTGAAACAAAAGAAAGTAATTTTGTTAATAAATCTTGACTAATATGTAAATATTTCGATTATATAGTAATGTAAATAAAAATAATCGAAATAGTATTTATTATTGATCTTGTTCTGAGAATTTACTGTGATTGTTTTCATTAATATTATGATGGCAACATTTTTATACTGTAAAAAAATTAAGTAATACTTATTATTATTCTTTTACCGAGTTATCAGTGAGTAAAAAAACTAGTCTAGTCTAATAAAACTGTTATTTTAACTACATGTTTTATAATATCTGTTAAAATATTTATGTTTTTTTATAAAACATTTTAAAGTCAACGTTTTTTACTAAATAATAAGTAGGTAAGATATTATTTATCTTATTTAATTGTTTTTGAGTTTATAAAATCTGTCCAATTAACTTATTGTAAGAAATAAATATTACTATACCATAGTCACCAAATTATGTAAATATAATGTCAACGAAATAAAATTTGTTACATAATAAATGTGATTTCATTTTTTTCCTTTGCAAAACTTTTGTAACATTGACATTTCATAAACTTGTTTGCAGTTATAAATAGGTTTGTTGTTGACATATCTGAAAAGTTAGGAGAAACGGAACATAATTATGTGAATTAAAATTATGCTTACACATATGCCATATGTGTAAATAAAAACTATTTTTACGCCACAACAGTTATGCTAAGTATAGGAATTTGTAATAAGAAAATTATTATATTTCATCAATTTTTCATCGACAATGCAATAATAAATATTTTTATTGCTGGTGGATTTTTCAATAAAAATAAAATCATTACGTTACAAGTATTCCTATCAAATTTAACTTTGGCCATAATACAAAATGGCGTCATCAATTAATTGGGTATTGCTAATGATAATACAATGTGTTATGCAATTTATGTGCTTCATGAACACGATCCGTTTTCATACCATTGATGTTATCAGATCTATGTATATATTATTGTTACATATCTAATAGAGATGAAGGGGTAAGATTTAAGACGAACATTCCACACATCATACACGGAAGGAATCATTTACATTCAATAAGGCAGAAATGAAAGGAGCTCGATGGCGCAGTGGTAAGTGCGCTCAGTCAGCAATAAGGTTCTTAAGCAATTTTATCAATGTCCGGTCATAGGATGGGCGATCAAAAATTAATTATCTCGCGTGCCTTGGAAAGCATGTTAAGCTGTAGGTCCCGGCTGCACCCACCAATTCACAATTTTCCCGCGTTCACCACCACCAGTATGTTCAGTTTGTTTTGTTATGATCAGTGGCATACGACTAGGCGGTCCTTTAGTCATCATTATTATAATATAGCTATAACTATAAAATACTTTTTTGTTTCAAACCTTTTTAGAGCATGATTTAGCTGAAGTTGGGTTTTAGTTTATGTTGATTAAATTTTGCACGTTACTAATTCCTATTAGTTTGAAACAAAGTTTGTGTTATAAACAAGTACACCTTTACCAATAGTTTGAATATTTGTAAAAATATTTGTTTCCGCTGTTTGGCTGGATTGCCTGAAGATCTATGAAAATACTCTCTGTAGTAGCGTAAAAGTAACACGTGGTACTTGAAAAATTCGTCAGTCCTGTTTGGTCCTGGAAACTCAGTGGTTTTAGGAGTCGCCGGATTGCGAAAGGTCTTGGGTTCGAGTCCCATCTCAGAGTGCCAGGGATAAAGTGGATTTTTTGAGCAATTTTCATTAAGAATATTTTTCATTAAAGCATTGTAAACGCAAAATTGATCAAATACAATAGATACCAAATAATTATTTAAAATCTAAAAACAATACAAATCACTCACCTAAATAAAGCAAGCCATATTTTGTAGTAATTAAAAGCAACATTAAAGTCTGTAATTGAGTCATTAATATAATTAATAGGAGTATATTGGCACTGGTAATTTTAGTGATTAACGTTGATGAATGGACGAATCAGTCAAATTGTTCCCGAGAACACAGAAAATTAATAACTCAGAAGTAAACTTGGAAGGAAATATTACCGGAATATTTATAGAGGAATATAATAAAGTAGCTATGGGACAGTATACTCAAAATAGAATACTGAAATTTATTTCTAAATTATTTTTTTTATAGAACTAAGGATACATTTTATAATAAGCCAAGTGAATTAGTAAACAGATCGTGAATTTCCTGGACTTAATTTGTAACTAACTTTTGCCCGCGATTTTACTTACGTAGTATTAATATTTACAGTCGTCGATATATAACTATCTTCGAAAGGAACCGGTTTTAAATTTGTCTGTTTTCTTGTATACTGTATATTGCAGGTTATTGTTTGAAAGAGTAAATTTTTTAAATAATCCCATTAAAACTTTGACGAAATTAGATGAGTAATTTTGTCTTAATATAGAAAAAAGTGGGAGAATTACATCGCCTACATTTTCTTGATGCGGTTGTCACGTAAGAAATCTATACTATAATAAAAACGTATACGATCGATGTCTGTACATTGAAGATATATGAAAAAAACTGTTATGAGGGACATTTATAAGCGTAATAGAAAACAAAACAATGATTTTTAAATTTTTTGTCTGTTTGTCGGTTTGTCTGTTTGTCTGTGCGTTTGTGCACGATAATCTCAGAAATGGCTGAACCGATTAAAATGCAGTTTTCACAATTATATTACGGCATTCTTCCGTTAACATTTAGTGTAAGATTTATTACAATCGATTCACAAATAAAAAAGTTATGTCAATTTGAAGTGACGCGGTCGCCAAAATTGCTATGAAATATTAACTGCTTTATTAAATTTTCGTCTTTCTAATATTGATTATCATCATTAACTCTTTCACAACTAAACTACACGACCTCAGGCCTTTGTTTAATAATTTTTGGTCACCCGTGAACAACTCTTGCGAAAATTGCTTAGTAATAACGATCGTGCGCAGCGGCGCATATCCGTAGCGCCACCGAGCTACGAATTAATATTGTATTTAAAAGGATAATTTGTATGATGACAAATAAAAAAATAAGATTCCAAAATTTTGACACTCCGAAGTAAGTTCAGGGTAGTCAGTAGGGTTCAGCTTATAATGGATGTTGGTATACAATCACGCGAATAGGAGAACAAGTGGTTCGAGCCTTCCGATGATGCAATTAAGCCTCGGGTAGTTTACAGTGAACGCATATTTTTATCAGATTAGGTTCACGTCGTGGTCGGGGCCGGCGGAGGTGTGTTGGCAGCCGCCCCCACATTGCACGGTTTCGTCTGTCTGGCAGAGGCAATCGATTTACCCGGTCTTTCCAATTTTCCATCTGCAAAGAGACCAATGGTCCAATACTTGAGTGTCCTGGTGACTCAGCCATAGCTTGCCCGGTTTCATTTCCCATGAGAGGGTGTAGAGTACGGGTTTTGGTGTGTAGGCCTCTGGGGACCCACCGGGCAGCTCACTGTCGGGTTCACGGAGGAGAATCCTACTCACCCCTGTTGCTTGCCAGGTAACAGACAAAATGTCAGATGTTTTTCCACGACGTTAAAAAAGTTAGATTCATGTCAACTGAAGTTAAGAACGTAAAGACAACTCGAGTTATATATATTTTTTTCTCTTATTACTATTTTTTTATGTTAATACTCTTTTTGTTTTTTTTTACATACAAATTGCTGTAGATACGTACTTCAAAGTTGGTATTTTCAGTCTTCGCTGGAAAAATTGGTTTATTCATTGGTCACAACACTCATATAATATTACGCGTGTCTGAGGGTCGGTTCAGAGTAGCTCGGTGGCGCAGTGAATAAGCGCCATGGCCCGCGATTGTAGTTATTAAGCAACTTTCGCAAAGGTTGGGCACAGGATGGATAAACAAAAAATATTATCTCAAGCAACTCCAAGCTTCGGAAACTACGTAAAGCGATTGGTCCTGGTTATATTTGCAGTCGTTAATTTCCTCCAATCCACATTGGGCCAGCATGGAGGGTCGTGGCCCATCCTCTTTAACCATACATAAGGAAGGCCTGAGCTCCTGCAGTTTGTGACGTAAAAGGGCTGATGATGATGATAATGCGGGCCGTTTAAATCTGACAGATGCTTAGTTAAGCACTCTCGGAAGTATGTTAGTAGACGATTTCCTTCGAGTGTGGAAAGTCGAAATTAAAATATGTATATATTAT